GGGAGCTTGAATTCAGCCGATCCGGGCTCGGTGTGTGTTCTGAGAGGCCCAGACTGTTCACCCCAGATCCACGTCAGCTCAGCATTGTCTAGTGATCCTGAGCAAACAGATTTAGGCTGTTTACAACTCCCTATGCCTGCACAGCTGAAGAGGTCAGAGACTTGATCTCTCCGCGCCCGCCGCCATGTTGGAATCCCCGGCTCCTGTTATCTTTTCTTGTAATGTCCTTGTCTGGCTTTGTTGTCAGTATAATGTTGGCCCATAAAATGAGTTTTGCTGAAAAAGTTTGAGAAAGATTAATATTAGTTCTTTAAATGTTTGGTGGAAGAATTCTGCTTTTCTTTGTTGAGAGATGTTCTGGTTACTGATTCACTCTCCTTAATTATTATTTCTTCATAATTAAGTCTTGTTAGGTTGTATGCTTCTAGCAGTTTACCCATTAGTTCTAGGTTATTCAGTTTGTTAATATATAATTGTTCATGATAGTCTCTTAATCATCCTTGTATATTTCCTTGGTATACAAATATAAGGATTGTTCAGTGGCTGAGAACCTAAGGAAATTTCTTGAATTTTTTTTCTTGATATTCCTTGCATTTTTTTCCTCATTCCACTGCCTCCCACCCCTTTGTTGTTTTGAAATTTCAGAAGTTTATTTTTGTTCTTTTATTTATTATATTTTAGATTTAGCTATACATATATAACTTAGTGAAATTTTTTAAACAGTAGAGGGATTGAGCACAGTCTGATTTTCCCCTTCCAATTGCATATTATTATCTACTATTCTAATTCCCTACTATTATTTTATGTTGACAGTATTTGTTTGTATTTGTCTACATCTTTATGGTTTTATATCTTCACCTTTCCTTCTTGCACTTGGAAAACAATTTCTCTTGGAAATATTTTCTCTTTCCAAGTACATGCTTGAAAAAATTACTCTAGAGCCAGTAAGTTCCTAGTGGTAACTTATTTGTAAATGTTTCCATTTTCTTTCTTCAAAAATAATTATTCCACATGCATAATTCTATGTTGATTATTATGTTTTTTTAAATTATTACACTTTTTGCCTTTGCTTCTGTTTTTCCAATGAGAAGTTTGCAGTCATTTTACTTTTCTTAGTATTAATATCAGCAAATTAAAATGATTTAAAGTGATGTGTGTGTGTATACATTTTTTTTTAAAACAACTGTTTGTTTTCAGGACCTTATCTTCATCTTTGGTATTCTTTTATTTCTTAAAATGTACATGGTACATTAGGTATAGATTTATGTTGTACTAAATGGATCTGTGGGTTCATATTTTCTATCACTTGTGAAAAATTCCCAGTCATTTTCTTTTAAAACATTTCTTTTCCATTATTCTGTTTTTTCATTCTAATGAGAAAACTAATTTGACATGTGCCAGAACAGGGGCTGACAAACTTTTTCTGTAAAGGGCTCAACAGGGCATTTTTAGGCTTCATGGGGCATATGAAGTCTCTGTTGCATACTTTTTTATTTTTTATTTTACTTTATGTGGTGCTGAAGATCGAACCCAGTGCCTCAAGCACGCTAGGCAAGCACTGTACCTCTGAGCCATAATCCCAGCCCTGTTGCATATTCTTTATTGTTTGGTTGTTTTGTTACAACAATACAAAACTATTCTCAGATCTCTGAAAAATGTATGCTTAGCAAAAACATATGTGCTTGACTTTCTTTTTCTCTTCTCCATGCTCTTAATCATAGTTTTAGTCAGCTTTTTCACTGCTGTGACTAAGGGACCCAACCAGCACAATTCTAGAGGAGGAAGCAATTATCTGAGGGCTCACAGTTTTAGAGGTCTTAGTCCTTAGAAGGCTGGCTTCATTCCTCAGGGCTTAAGGTGAGGCAGGACACCATGGAGGAAGAATGTGGCAGAGGGAAGCAGCTCACGTGGTGATTAGAAAGCAGAGAGAGAGAGAGAGAGGTCTCCACTCTCCAGATACAAAATATGTACCCCATAGCCATACCCCAACGAACCACTTCCTTCAGCCATACCTCACCTGCCTCTAGTTACCACTCAGTTCATCCCATCAGGGATTAATTCATTGATTAGGTTAAGGCCATAACCTAATCATTTCTCCTCCAAACCTTCTTGCATTGTCTCACTCATGAGGTTTTCAGGGACACCTCATATCCAAACCATAACAATCATTCCTATTTTCATATCCTTATCTCTTTGCAGTATGTGATATAAAATCTTATCTTCCAGTTTGCTAACTCTCTCTTCAACTTTCTCTAATACTTTATAGCTTACTTTTTGAGTTCAATGATTATTTATTTTTCAGATGTTCCAGCTCAAAAAATTTGTCCTCTAGTAGCCAGATATCTCCAATGACTAAGGGTGATTTTTTTTTTCCCTCCATAAACATCTGTGCTCAAATGGAAGCCCCAGAGAGATCTTTCCTACCTCCTTAAGGTTCCTAGGTTTAATTTCCCCCCAGTTGTTGCCATAGAAATGCAGCCTCAGGGCACTTGTGATCTCCTCCACTTCTTGCTGCCGGCCTCTATAGGTAGGCTCCTGCTATATTGGCTCCTGGTCCAACTTCTCCTTTTGGCAGTCAGGTTCTAGAATTCTCTCAACTCATTTGGCCTATGCTTTTAGATACTGTTACGCTGTTTCCTACAACCAGGCTCTTAGTTACTGTAACTCTGGATGGAATCAACTCCAAACTCAGTCTAGATTGGTCAAGATGTTTGTTTCTGTTACGATTTGTGAGAGCAGAGCTAATGCAGGGTGTATTCTCTGTGGGATACAGTGGCTCTGGAGCTGCCAGGTTCCTTGAAGCATCTAATCATTTGTAATCCAGAAGCATAAACCTCATATTAGTTTTATATTCAGAAAGAAAAGTAGTTCAAAAAGTCGTTTTTTTTTTTTTCCCTCCTCTGGGAACTCTTTATTGGAAAAAGAAGAGATGGCAAGATATTTTCAACTATATTTTCGACATACTTGTTACAGAATATTACTTAAAATTGTTTTGAGATTATTTTTTGTGGTAATTTAAAAAAAATTTCTGCGGTGTTTTTGAAGTAAAAATTCACCAAGGTTTTTAGCCCAATGCCAGGCATCAAGAAAATGATCAACATTTTTTAAAAAAATGAGCACCATTTTATTTTTAAGATTTTTTTTTTAGTTGTAGATGGACACAGTACCTTTATTTTTAAAATTTTTTTTTTTTTTTTTTTTTTTTTTTTTTTTTTNTAAAATTTTTTTTTTTTTTTTTTTTTTTTTTTTTTTTTTGTGGTGCCAGGGATGAAACCCAGTGCCTCACACAGGCTAGGTAAGCACTCTACCACTGAGCCAAATCCCCTACCCTATTTTGTATTTTATTTAGAGACAGGGCCTCCCTGGGTTGTTTAGGGCCTCGATTTTGCTAAGGCTGTTTTGAATTCCTGATCCTCCTGTGTCAGCCTAGCGTGCCCAACCGCACCCAGCCGTGAACACCATGTTAGTATGAACATCACTCTATGTTAGCAATGAGTTTGATACTTGGTGGAGAAACTCTTACATATGTAGTAAATGTGTTAATTTTTCTTGATATAGGAAAATGTCTGATCAAGAGGAAGAGTTTAATATTGAAAATACGGTGAAGCCAGAAGAAGATGAGGAGGTTATTGACACTGTCAATATTCCAGCACCCTCAGAAGAACGTTCAGAGTTAGATGTAAGTGAAGAGCATGAATCTGAACTAGAACTCAGTGATCAAAGTGACATCAGCATTTTAAGCCTTGAATTGAACGAGGAAAGAAGACGCCTGGAAGAGGCTGTGTCTCCCAGAAAATCCTTGCCTGTTTCAGGGTATTCACCGCAGCCCAACGTGGAGTTCACCCAACAGGATTCAAATGAGGAAACTCTGGCATTTCTGAATAAAATAAAGGCTATGAAGGAGTCTTTGCAAACATCAGTGAGAGAATCTTCAGCAACAGGTATTTCCAAAAGAAGATAGCATATTTCACTTCTGCATTTCAATGAAGAGTTGCTTTTCCTTGTTAATTTTTTGTTTATTTTTGTTTGAATACCTATTTTATGTTTGCTGCTAGTTTTCCTTTCCCATGACCACCAAATTTCCATAGTTTCACCACTGAAAAACGTGTGAAAGGTTCCCTTTTCTTCTTTCTTGGTACTAGGGATGGAACCCCTGCATGCTTTTCGCTGAGCTATATTCCCACCCCATTTTATTTTTTGTTTCCTCCTGCCTCAGCCTCCTGAGTTGTTGGGATTACAGGAATGCACCACAGTACCTGCTATGTGAAAACTTTTTTCTGTTCTGCAATATCTACTCTTCTTCCCCAGCAAATGAACATCACTAAATTTTAAGTTCACATTTACTTATTTATTCAAATAAATAAGTTTAAAATGTTTAGGGAACTTGGGAAATGGTAGAAAAATTATTGAGTACAATTACAGTTCTTTTGCATGCCAACTTGGAATTGCTTTACATAGCTAGAAACCTGATTCCCTAGTTTCATATTCTTTGTTCATTCCTTGTATTATGCTGCTTTTACATATTTTTATAGTCTGCTTAAGAGTTAACCATATATTTAGCCTTGGAAAAATCAATGTCTCTCATTTTAGGTCAATTTTAAAGCCCTAAAGCAGCATTCATTATTTGAGATGTGTGTGTGTGTGTGTGTGTGTGTGTGTGTGTGTGTGTGTGTACTGGGGATTGAACTCAGGGACACTCAACCACAGAGCCACATTGCCAGCCCTATTTTGTAGGGTCTTACTGAGTTGCTAAGTGCCTCGCTGTTGCTGAGACTGCCTTTGAACTTGTGATCCTCCTAACTCAGCCTCCTGGGATTACAGGCATGCACCACCATGCCTTGCCTCATTATAATATTATTAATAATAGAGAAGGGGAGAAGTAATAAGTTAGTTACACAGAAAACCATTAACTGACTGCCTTTTCTTTCATTGTTCATGTGTTTTGAGAGTTTCCACTCATAGGATGGAGAACATGGGGTTGTCATTTAATAATGATAATAGCAATAGCAGTTTGGCTGGTAAAATGTAAGTTTTGACTATAGTGGGTTATTTAACCCTGTGTGGTATGTTCAGAAAACTAATTATGTTATACAATACACAATAGAATTGAGTATCTCTCAATTTCATTATTTAGTGTAAATTTGGGTTCCATTTTTGGTGTTTCTATAATTCCCTGATATTGTAACTTAAAAACATGGTGAGTGTTTAAAATAAAAAGTTGTTTTGACCCTGTACTTATCAAGCTTCCCTCAATATACCTCCCATTCCAAAACTTAAGAATCCACTTAATCATTAATTAAAAACATTAATCATTAATTAAAATTTCTTAAATTTTAAATTAATTAAAATTTTTAAACACATTAAACACAAAATCATTAAAATTTTAAACACATTAAGAAACTAGAAAAATCTAGTTTATAGCTATGTAAGACAATTCCATAGCTTTTTGCACCAAGAAACAAAATAGCCTTCTGATAATTTCTGTTTGGTATCTGAAAGTGTTTCTTTTGTTCATAGAGAACTGTGAGAACAATTTTTAATAAGTTTAAAGAAACTTAATATGACTAATGCCTAGTTAGATTTTTTTCCCATGGGAGTGTTGATAAATGTCTCAGCTTTTTGAAAACTGTCTTATCTGGCATCTAGAAATATATAAGCTTTTTGACCCATAATATGATTACTTATTGCATCCTTTCTATTAAAAATGTTATGGTTTGGATGTGAAATGTCACCCCAAAGCTCATGTGTGAGACAATGCAAGAATGTTCAGAAGAGAGATGATTGAGTTTTGAGAATCTTAACCCAATTAGTGAATTGATCCCCTGATAGGGATTAACTGAGTGGTAACTGAAGTGGTAGGATGTGGCTGGAGGAGATGGGAATTGGGGGCATGGCTTTGGGGTGTGTATATTTGTATTTGGCGAGTGGAGTCTCTCTCTCTGCTTCCTGATCATCTTGTAAGCTGCTTCCCTCTGCCACACTTTTCCTCCATGATGTTACCTCACTTCAAGCCCTGAGGAATGGAGCTGGCCTTCTAAGGACTAAGACCTCTGAAACTAAGACCTCTGAGCCCCTAAATAAACTTTTCTTCCTCCACAAGTATTCCAGTTTAGTTTTTTAGTCACAGTGGCAAAATAGCTGACTGAAACAAAAAGTTAAAGTCTATAAAGGTAAAATAATTTATAATATACTTATTCCATATAATTTGTGAATAGATGATCATTTATGATAAGTTTTTAATTTTTAACACAAAAGCATCTCTAAAAAACTTTTTAGTTATAGATGGGCACAATATCTTTATTTTGTTTATTTTTATATGGTGCTGAGGATCGAACCCAATGCCTCACATAAGAGAGGCAAGTGCTCTGTTACTGAGCCATAACCTCAGCCCTCTTTTCTTTTTTCTTTCTTTCTTTTTTTTTTTTTTTTGCTCCTGGGATTGAATCCAAGGTTGCTTAACGACTGAGCAACATACCCAACTCTTTTTAATATTTTATTTAGAGACAGGGTTTCATTGAGTTGCTTAGAGCCTTACTAAATTGCGGAGGCTAACATTGAAATTGCAATCCTCCTACCTCAGCCTCCCAAATCACTGGAATTACAGGCATGTGCCACCTTGTCTTGCTCAACACATAAGCATCTTGATTTCCTATTTTGTAGGGTGGAGTGTGAGCCATACAATGTAAAGTTTTGTGAAAAGTAGTTATAATGGGGAGTTCAAATGCATTTCCAGGTTCTGAGACAACCTTTCTATTTCAAGGTCTCATTTTCTTATACTCACTAGACAAAAATGCTTGATTTTTAGAGCTACTTTCTGTACTTAAGTCATAATATAGGTGGTGAACATTGATGAAAAATTTTGAGATWATGGATTAATTTTCAAAACCTAAGGTTGTAGCTCAGTTTGGTCATTTCTCTTTAGATATCATTGTGGTGTGGTGGGGAAATATAGCAGAAATAACCTGTGTTTCACACAGTTAAAAGTCAGCCCATAATTCTGTTTGTGGAGTGTAGGTTACTGACCCTTGCTGTATTTGACGATGCTTATTTATTTTCTCTTTTTATCTTTAGTAAGAGTTGTACTTATTCCTGTGGGCCAGGAAATTATAATGCCTTTTAAAGTTGACACTATTTTTAAACACCTCAAGGATCACTTTTCGCACTTGTTACATATCCCRCCTTCTGTACTACAGATAAGTTACAAAGGTAAGTTTGAAGGTTCATGAACTTATTAAGATTTCTCCAGTTTTAGTATGTAAACAGTCAAGACCTTTGATCTACACATTTACTATTTTAGCATTAACTTGTGGTTATGTATTTATTCATTTAATTCCTTTTTATTAAAGACATTTGATTCTAGATATTTTGCTGATAGTGAAGGATAACAGAGAAACATGAAACACGATTCCTGTTCTCAAATTGCTTACAGACTAGTAAGGGGGAGAATTGCAGGCAAGAGTTTCCATATAACATTCAAATGCTTTATTGGAAATCTGCACAAAGAGCTATGAGAATAGGAAGGAAGAAATCTGGGAGATTATGGAATGTTTCAATTTATAAAGGTGATGATATTTGTGCTAAGTCCCAAAGAGATGAGAAAAACTGGAGCTTTTAGGAAGTGATAAGACATTTTGAGTGGCTGGAAGTAGATTTTGTATGTGGGATGGGAGGAGCTGAGATTGAAGAAATAAGATAAGGATAATGTATAGAACAAGAAGACTGAAAATGGTTTCTGAATATTGTATATGTTAAGGTCATTCCTGTGATGTCTGGTTTGTTTATATTTTGTGGATGATATTGAGAAGCCCCATTGAAGTTACATTAGTCTTGAATCATGATTGATCATGACTGGACATAGTCTTTGTAACTGTGATAGAGAACCAGACTAACCTAGCAAAAAATGTTTTTTTTTACAATGTGTCTGAACAAATTCTAATATTTTAGTTTTAAAAGTCTTGGTATTGACTTATAAAGATGCTACACAATGTTTGCAGAGAAAAAAGAAGTTTCAAAATCATTTTTTAAAAAATCAATTTATAGTGAATATACTCCAAAAGTAAGATTTGTGCAAATAGCACATTTAAAGCCTGACTAAGGAAACAAGGCTAAAGTTTAAATAATTATTAGTCATAATAATAATAATGATCATCATGATTAGTTTATTTTTTGAACCCTTACTATGTGTTAGTATGTCTGCAAAATGTTTTGCCTACATTATCATTTAATCCACACAGCAACCCTTTGGTGTAGGTAATATTAATAACTCTTTCTCTGAGAGAAGGAAACTGAAACTCAGGGAACTTTTTTTTTTTTTTTTTTTTTTTTTTTATAAAATCACATGACAGGTAAGTAGCAGAATCTGAACTGAAATTGGAGGTATAACTCCAAAGAGGGAAGTAGCAATTGCTGAGCATTAACTCAAAGGTAAAGTTGAAAGTTAGAGAAGAGAGCACTTTGTGACTGTAGTAGATGGCCAGTGGTACTCAGGGATCCCTGCCCTCTTCACCTTTCTTCTTTGTAAGTACCAGATATTATCACTGAGTAATAGGTTTATGTTAGCAGCAATTATAGAACAGCTCGATTTGATGCCAGCCATCCTCTAAGATAGATGATTTCTCCCAGGACTGGAACTGGAGCTCAAATTTGATGGGACTGCACTCTCTAAAGAAATAAATGGAGGAAAAACCAGAGCTCTAGGAATCTGTATCAGTTTTCTAGGTCTGTTGTAACAATTAATCACAAACTTAGTGGCTTAAAGCAGCACATGTGTTTCTCTTACACTTCTGGGGGCCAGAAATCTTAAATCAGTCTCATTAGGATAAAGTTAACGTTTCAGTTGGCCTTTCTCCCTCTGGAAGCCCTAGGGGAGAATCCACCTCCTTGCCTTTCCAGCTTCTAGAGTTGCATCTCTTGGATTCGTTGGTTCATTGGCTTCCTTGCATATTCAGAGCCACAGAATAGCAGATGCAGCTCTCTCTTTGCTTCGGTCATACTGTCTTGTCTTTTCCTCTGTAGCCAAATCTTTTTGTTTCTTTTTATACAAGGGCACACATAAGTACATTTAGGGCTCAATAAGATAGTCCAGGATAGTCGCTGCATCTTAAAATCCTTAATCAAATCTGCAAAGTCACTTTTGCTATAAAGGTAATATGATGTGGACAAATTTGGGGCTATTATTCAACAAAGCCCATATGACATTCAAGTTAATTTTAAAAATTAAGAATGTAGGATGTGAAATTGAAATTCACAAATCTTTGAGTGTGTTTTCTCAAATATAGCCAAAGTAGTTTTGTGCTGTCTGATATATTTGTGGGTATAGCTTTTGTTATGTTCAAGTTCAAAATTGTAATTGAGGAAGACCATACATTTGAAGATTGATAGATTCCATCAATGAAGATTCCATGAGACAAAACAGCAGCCAGTAACATAACATTATTGCATCTTCATATGCCGTGAAACAGAGAAATGTGATCAGTTAATTTTTTAAATACATCAATGGCAGGGTGGAATAGAGAGAGGGAAGAAGATAAAGTAGTACAACCACGACAACAAAAATAAAGCAAAGTTCACTTTTTTTCAGTACAAAAGTGAGTCTAGTCTCCACCTTGGCATTAATTTATGTGTGTTTCTGACTATGGTAGGAGAGACAGGAAGGGATTATTTAGAATTCCGAGTCTATATTTATAAACACCAGAGGGTGAAATGGATATTAAAATAATTATGCTTCCTCTGGAATGGATGTGTGTAATATTTATATATAATATATGTGAATTTTCACAGTCAGTGTTTATAGTATGTGGTTCTGCTCATGTTATAGAATGCTTTTATTTTTAAATGTCTATAGAGTTTCATGTTATTATATTTATATATCTGAAGACATGAGAATTGTAGTTTTATTTATAATGCTGAATTTCAGAACAGGAATGCTGCTATAATCCTTCCTATTGTAGAATTTGATTTTTATTTTTTATTAATTATTATTTTAATTATACATATTTATGGGGTACAGTGTGATAATTTAATACGTGTATACAATGTATAATGATCAAATCAGGCAACATTTATTTTTCCTTAAAGATTAAAATTGTTTTGATTAATATGTAAAAATTGTACATATTTATGAGAAACAGTGTGATGCTTCAAAATGCACACATTGTGTACTAATCAAATCAGGGTAATGGATGTTTCCATTTCTTTATCATTACTTTATATTCAAAGACTTTAAGCTCTTCTCTTTTAGTTTGCATAAAATATATAGTAGGTTATTATGAACTATAGTCACTGTTATGGTATTTTCTGTACTATTATTACAGCAAGAGATGGAAAACATTCATACTATATTTAGTGATTAAGTGATATGTGTTCCCACAAGCACCTGGGATATTTTCCATCACCTTAAAATGAGTACATATGATTAGCCATTTCTAGAGACTGTTGTACATCATGGTGACTACATAGTTAATAACCGTACACTGTATACTTGAAAATTTCTAAGGGAATAAACTTTAAGTGTTCTCATCATACACATAAAAAATTATGTGAGGTAATACTTATATTAGATTGATTTAGTCATTTCACAATGTACACATATATCAGAAATTCATGTTATACACTATTCATATATAATTTTATTTCATAACTAAAACAACAACAAAAAATAGCCATTTTTTGTCATAAAACTTCTTAAAATTTTTCAGGAATAATTTTTAAAAATAATGAGACTTTAATACAACATGGAGTTAAGCCACAGGAAATTATACAACTGGAACTCTTTTCTACAAATCCAGATCAATATCCAATAAAAAGGATAGAGGGATTAAATGATGTCTCTCAAATCCTAACTGTCACTGTACAAATTGGTGAGTTATTTGATGTCTTTCAGATAAACTATGTTAGTTTTCCTTTGTAACTGAACTTCCATTCAGTCTTGGTTTTTATCTCCTTAGGCATTAATCAGTACCAGGTGGTAACTGTTGAGATTATAAAGTCTGATTTTCATAAGCCATTTCTTGGTGGATTTAAGCATAAAATAACAGGAATAGAATATCACAATGCTGGAACCCAAACTGTACCTAAATATATCCGAGGGGGAAAAAAAGCATTTTCCAGGGACACCCAGGTAATATTTTTAATTTTCCATTTAGGTTTCTGAAACTATGGAATCAACAATTGTTGTATACTATATGACTTTCTCAAATTCTCCTCATTTATTATGTGGCAATTAAGATAGTAAAAGCAAAATTTACTGGACTGAGTAGAAAAATATTCTCTCTGTTGTATGTGTGTATTTTCACAGTCAGTGTTTATAGTATGTTTAAGTATGTATACTTACCTAAATGTTTTGTTTTTACTTTAGACAGTTTCTCAGAGAAAAAAGCTCCAACAAACTACAAATACAACATCCACACAAATGTCTAAAATTGGTGTGTATGTATCAAATATAACTGATAAACTGTTAAAACCAGGGGATTATATTTCAGCAGCAAAATACCATGCTCGAAGATTCAATGCGGTAAGATAATTTCATTGTGAATAAATACTAAAAATTAAATATATAAAGCCAGTTGTTCTGTGTGTGTTTTCCTAAGCCACACCAGCCTGAGTAAGARCCCATATGTGTATGGGTCGTGTTTAATGGATAGTCAATGCAGACCTATCTCCAATATCCCTCTGTATAAGCAACCCAGACCCTAAGTGCTCCTAACCCTTCCCTTGTCTTTAGGGACTCTCAGGTACCTTTGGCCATTATTAGCTTCCTCAACACTTCTGTCCCTTGGCCTTAACCCTTCCTTGTCACAGTAGAATCATGTAGGGAGCTTGCCAGATTATTTGAAACTCAATAGAACAAGAGTGCACAAGAGAGTTAGCCACTCTAACTGGTATCACTTATACAATTCATCTTTTTTCACCTTTTAACTTTCAACCTATTTGATCCCTTCTAGAGAGCATATAGTTGGATCTACCTCCTAGCATTATTTTGAGAGACAGACCTGGAATACAAAAAAAAAAAAAAAAAAAATCAAGTCTGTGGAGTTATCATCCTGAGGGAGACCACTCACTACAGGGAAAGCTTTGAACCTGGTTTATCAGTCCCAGTTACTCCAGCCTGATGAGTTTTTGTTTTTAATCTAAATTAATATTTACCCAACAAGAGAAAAGATAGAGTTGTGAGATTTCAGGGGAAATTGAAATGCAGGTAGAATTTAAGCAAAGTAATCTCTTGATCTTCTGTATACAGGAAGGCTGCACATACAACATCCACACAAATGTCTAAAATTGGTGTGTATGTATCAAATATAACTGATAAACTGTTAAAGCATGTAAGTGGGTCAACATCAAGGTCTGGATTGCAAGGTGAACCAGGATTCTGTTCTCTTGGGAATGAAATTAAAAGAGCTATAGAAGTTATCTCTGAAGTTCTCCAAGTTCAGCACCCGTGGTTGAAAATCAAGGCTGCCTTTCCCTGTCAAGGTGATTTAGAGCCTTTTCGACAACACTGGGATGCTTTGTTCTTACTGATCTAATTTCAAGCAATAAAGTTTCTTTGAGTTTATGATTTGAGAGGAGAAAGTCTGTCAGTGAGTAAGAAAATAGTTACTCAAAGAAAGAGGGATTGCTATGACATTTTATAGCTGCAGAGCATCCTTGGGAGAAATATTGTTTCCTGTTAGCTTTGTGGCTGTCTTGATTAGTGTCACTTATTACAGTGATGTGTTTTTTTTTTTCATTTCTCAGTACAAACTAATTTTTACTTTCTTTTTGTTCTGGTTTTGGATGGTAATTTACTGTATCCTCAGGAACCTGCACTCCAATTATCTTCCCACTCTTTTACAGTCTCACCATGCATAGAGTATTACTGTATGGTGACAAAATGGTTGACTCTTCTCATCACATCTGCATTCTGTGTTGGAACAAGAGGGAAGTCAAGGGAGCATGACCCATGAGCCTTCCTCCTGAAAACCTTATCCAGTGACATGTGCTTTCATGTCATTGGCCTGAGCCATGTCCCGTGATGTCCCTCCCGAAGGAGTAAATGCTAAGTGCATTTATTAATTAATATATTGTTCCTCCAGAAAGCTGAGATCTTCTTAGTAGGAGGAAATAGAGGACATAGGATATTAGGTAGAGAAGTAGCCCTCTCTGTACTATTTTCCAAATGCCAATAAAATGATATTAAAGGGAAAAAATTCCTATATATAGCAAAGAATATAAGAGAAAAGAGAAGAGTAAATATCAGTTGACTTTGTTGAAGTTGTAAAGCAAATGGAGTGTGTAACTTGGCTTACTAGAGCAGTTACAATCTAAATGCCTGCCAAGAGGGATGGCATCAAGACCCACATACATTGGCCCCAGAGGATCTTGGAAGATGGGTTGGAGATTTTGTGGGAGGTCAAAGTGAGGAGTGGGCCGTGAACTGTTAAAAGGCTATACGAGGTCAATTTTCATTTAATAAGTCCTTTTATTCTCATTGATTTCCTTTCCACTTGGGTCATGTTTATTTTATTTTTAAAAAAGGTTTTAGAATTCAATGCTTCATAGTTCTTGTTTTAAGCAAGATTATATTATGTGTGGTTGATATTTTTGTATTCATTTCTGCCATCTCATCTTGTTAATTTACTAATCATTTTTGTTTGTTTATTCTTTTTTGTTGGCTTGATCAGCTTTTTCATGTTTTTATTTTTTCAAAATTTAGAGTAGGTAATTTACAAGTTAATATGCATTTTCTACTAGTTACTAAAAAATTGTTAAACATGCCTATTTTGTTTTTATGCCAAATGCATGATGATCCCACTGTATTTCCTTTCTGTGAACAGAACCTTAATATGCATTTATTTTCTTCCTTTCTTTTTCTTTCCTCCCCTATTCCTCCTATACGGCGAGGATTTAGAATTATAAGTAAAGATAATTTACAATATAATTATAATTCTAGATTGTTATTTTAAATATTTGCTTTGATACATATATTTGTTTTTCTGAATAAATATATTTAGCTTCATAAGTCTTTTTGAAGCCTTTTTTCCCTGCTTTAATTTTCCTGCTTGAGTTTATTATTCTTGCTGGAACACACTTTCGAGTAATTCCTTCAGAGACTATGCATAGGGAGTGAACCATGTAAGTCCTTGTTGAATGAACCTCATATGTGGGTTTTAATTTGAGTGGGTTTGAAAGGTTAGATTCAAGTTTATTTTCAAAATTATTTTCCTTTGTAACTTTTGAAGCCGTATTTGACAGTTAGATATTGATCTGATTCTAATTTCTTTGTTTCCTCTTTCTATGAGCTTTTAGGATTTTCACTTTATCCTTAGTATTTTGTAATGTTACCATGCTGCCTTTGAAACTTTGTAATGGACCCTTTCTGAGAACTTATGTCTTGCTTTGGGAAATGTTCTTCTATTTTATTTTGAGTAATTTCTGTAATCAAATTTCTTCATTCTGTCTGTAACTTGTATCCGACATGTTTTGGAATGACTGGATTTATCTTTCATGTTTGTGATTTTTCTCTTCATTGCTTTCTAACTTTTGTGACCTTTCCTTCTGCATGCTAAAAGATTTTCTCACCTAAGTTTCTGCTTATTAATTCCTTCTCAGTTTCTACATTCTGCAGATCAGATTATAACAAATATCTGCCAATATTCTTTCTTCCCTTCTCCCATGTACTGAAGCTTTAACAGGGCACATGGCTGTMCAGAGAAGATGACATTTCCAAGCTCCCTTGTAAATCAGTGGGGGGGAGCATGTAGCTAAAGTCTAGACAACAGGGTCTGCAGGGCAGTGATGTGAGGCACTTCCAGGAGTTACTCTTAAAGTGTTCTTTGTTCCTTTCCCACTACTTACTGGCTGGAAGATGATGATAAGTGGATCAGCCAAGTGAGACATACAAGTAGGAAGCAATTTGTTAACTGCTGCGGCAGAGCTTTCCTACCAACCCTAAACTGCTCGCCAGTGACCAGATGGTCATACGAGAGGGGAAAATTCCTGTTATTTATACAAATCTTGTTTTGGTGTCTTTAATAAATTTTAAAAGTTTAATAACCACCCAAACTGACACATATTTTATTGTTTCTTTTTTTTAATTTTCAAGATTTTTCCACAGTCCTTTTTTGGTTTTTGTTTTTAATCTTGTTTTATACTGATGGACTTTTACACTGAAAACATGAACTACCTCTAGTCTTGTTTTCTGTTTTATTTTACTTTAATAAAATGGTTCTAAAACTTCAGCTTCCACATCCCCTGGAGAGTTGTTGGGATCTGCTGGGCAAGGGTCTGGGGGAGGGTGCTGGAAGCTGGTTGCCTGCTGATACTTTTCTAGATAATGCCCATACTGCTGGTCTTCCCACTACTCTTTGAGAATTACTCTTCTACTAATTATGTTTCAAGCAAGAATAAATTGTTCTTTTGGGTGAGGGGCTTTTTATTTTGTTGGCTCTTCTCAAATGCTTGGTTAGACTGGGGTATCTACTCTCAGAAGATTTGAAATTCTTAACTCATTTTGTTCTATCATCCCAGATGTGTAATACCTATTAAAACTTAAATATAGTATATAATACATAATTAGATAATAATATAATTATAGTACTCATATGTAATAATATTAATTAATATAATAAAATAAATGTTCTAGGTTATGATTTCCAACCTATTTTAATTCACCTTTGTTAATTTCACTTAAATATTCACGGAATTGGAAACGTAGAACTTAATTTGCTAATATGCAATGTGCTAACAGCATGTTTACCACTTTCTAATCCCAGTGTTTTTACAGTATAAGGCTTGATTCTGGGACGGAGCTATTTTTCTGGATAGGGCGTTTCTATACATCCTCAGTCTCACCAGCCTTTGGGCACACTAACCACTCTTGCCTAGGGGTACATATTTCTGTTGCTGTTTACCTAAATTGTTTAATAGGGGCATGTCCCATTTGCATTTTTCAGGCAGGTACTGGGTTGGCTGCCCTTCTGCTCAGAGAATCTGCCAGTTTGGGGCATGAAGCAGTTCCAGGGCCACTTGTCTGACTTCTAGCTTGTCTCTCCAGTGCACCACTAGGCTATAGATTCCTTCTTTAGTATGTTCCATCTGTCTCTTTGCTTGAGGGGATTCTTTAAAATTTCTATTCCCTCGGGTGACCCATTCAGTATGATCCATTGACTTTATTGATTTCTGCTTTACACATTTTGCTGTAATTATCAGACATTAGGAAGCGGGAAAGAAATGTGCCAGCATGTTTTGTCCTCAATCTTGTTGTAAACTCCCCACATTTTATTTGAGTTTATAAAGTTATAAAACTCTGTTATATCATGAAGTTTTGAGGGGTTAATACTATGAAATACTGCCAAATAAGTTTCCATTTCATATAATTTAATTCTTCTTTATGTCTCTCTTTTATCTAATCCTTGCTGGTTTCCACATATACCTGTATGTGTTTAGGAAATACAGTTTTGTTTTAAATATGTGCCTTAGCTTATGGAAATTAAGATGAGCTAGAAATAACAAAAAATTCATAAAAATTATAGTATAAATTGAGGATTTGTAATGTGATGTACCAGACTTGGGCTAAGCTGTTTCTTTCTTTTTTGCACTAGGGATTGAACTCAGGGGCACTTAACCACCAAGCTACATCCCTAGCCCTTTTAATTTTTTTGCCACATCCCAAGCCCTTTTAATTTTTTTTTTTTTGAGACAGTGCCTAAGTTGCTGAGCCTGGCTTTGAATTTGCAATCCTCCTGCATCAGCCCCCCAAGCATCTGGGATTACAAGCATGCACTACCATGCCTGGGAGGCTAAGCACTTTCTGAGCATACTGTTATCACTTTTTATGAGAGTCCTGAAGTAAAGAGATGGCAAGAAACTTGCCCCAAATAAATCTACTTACTAAGTAGCAGAGAGGAATTTCAAATTAAGTCTAACTCCAGAGTCTGTGCTCTTAAGCATTATACTAACAGCCTCTGTGAAGGTGTATTTGCTAGATTACAAGACAAATAGCAGTGACATGTATTATCTGTGGCTTCTATGTTCGTATATGTAAGAATATCTAACACCGAGCTAAAATCAGACTCAGCACTGTTTTATTGCTGAATTGGTATTGAAATAATCGTTGTCTTTCTTTATTATCTGATCAAAAAGTTGATGGTAGGCACTTTATTTCCTTTTAATATAAATACAGGCGATAGTAATACAGACTCGCTACAGGCAATGGCATGCTAAAGTCTTTGTAAGGGAACTAAAAGAACAGAAAAAGTTGAGGTTGGAGTGGGAAGCCCAAGAAGAACTAAGGAAAATAAAAGAAAAAGAAGAATGGACACAATTGGACTATCACCGGAGGCATAATCCTAAAACAAATGAAGAYTTTGAACTTCTTTATAATGCACTAAACTGTAAGTTTGACATAGGTTTTAAATAAAATATTAACTTAGAAATTTTTCATYAATAGGTAAACAGTTTTACTGAAGACAAAAGAAAGGCATGTTAGGGAGAAGTCTTGGGAATCTGATCTGAAGTTAGATGAATACTATCTTACATTTGGGACAGAAATTAAGGCTGAAACAACATTAAAAATGCTTTTATGCTAACAAATGTGCATATTTTGTGTCAACTATATAGTTTAGGTATATTGGGTCATTTGATCCATATTCACATGAGAGAGAGAGAAAAAGCACTGTCTCACCTGGTTTTCTGATGCTTTGGGCAGTTTGTGAACTCAGGGGTGAGCTGTTTAAATCCCTCAATCCAGCATCCTGTGACTGTGCTCTTTAGAGAAGGTGCTCAACGATACCTTTTAAACCCCCCAATAATAATAATAGTGAATGATTTATATCCTCTTTCTTCTACAGTATGTGTGTTAGTCACTGGTAAATGAAAAGCTTCAGTTACTTGAAAAAGGGTGACAGACACACCTCTGCCTTTCTTGAAGCCTTTTCCCAATGGCCTATCCTCCAATCTCAGGACAAATGTCAACTACTCAAGGGTTTTGTGACTGACAATATAACTTGGATATACTATTTGTCATCTCGTAATCCTCACCATACCCTTTTCATTTATAATAATAACAATTCATAATAATACATCTTTTAACATTTATTTATTGACTGATTCTTTTTAGTTATTTATAACACTAGAGGATACATTTTGACATAATCACAAAAGCAGGGAATATAATTTGCTTCTATTCAGTCCCCAGCACTTCCCCCTCCTCCCTCTACTCACTCTCCTCCCTTTACTCTACTGATATTTCTGCAACTTATGCTTTTTTTTTTTTAAATCAGTGTCTTACGTCTGAACTTGATGTTGGGATGCACAGTGCTGTATTCATGTATGTACATACGAAAGTGCAGTCAGATTTCATTGCGCTCTTCTTCCTTTACCCATCCCTCCTTCATCCCTTCAGTCCCCTTGGTCTAATCTACTAATATTTCCTCTGTTTTGATGAAATTCCCTCTCCTTTGTTCCCTTTTCTCTCTCCCATTGCCCTTATGCTGGATTAGCTCCCGCATATTAGAGAGAACATTTGACCTTAGTTTTGGGGATTGGCTTATTTCACATGATACACTCCAGTTTCATCCATTTATTGGCAGACGCCATAATTTCATTGTTCTTTATAGCTGAGTAATATTCCATTGTGTGTGTGTGTGTGTGTGTGTGTGTGTGTGTGTGTGTATACCTCTGTTTAGAGTTTTAAACTAGGCTTGGTTGGGTGCAATGACAAATGCCTGCTACTCAGGACACGGAGGCAGGAGATCACAGGTTCCAGGCCAACCTGGGCAATTGAGCAAGATCATGTCTCAAAATAAAAATAAAAAGGGCTGAGGGTTTATTTACCTCAAGGGTAAAGCACTCTGGGCTTGATTCTCAGTAACACACACACACACACACACACACACACACAAAGAAACAACAACAAAAAAACCCAGAGCAACAATGGAAAATAGCCTGTCATTTGTTTTTTTTTTTTTAGTTGAACAAGGTCTTTTTATTCAAGGAAATTAGTCTTTTACTTTTCTATGATTATTCATAATATTAATTTTAAGTGATTTTTTTCTGTCTTTACTTCCTTACATATTTTTTTTTTTTTTAACCAGGAACTGAACTCAGGGCCACTTAGCTACTGACTCACATCCCCAATTATTTGTGTTTTTAGATAGGGTCTCACTCGTTGCTCAGGGCTTCACTAAATTGCTGAGGCTGGCATTGRACTAGAAATCCTCCTGCATCAGTCTCCTGGGGCCACTGGGATTACAGGAATGTGCCACTGCATCCGGCCCCCTTATATGATATTTTGGTTTAAGTTATGAGTTCAATTACTCATGTCATGCTCTCAAATTGTATATAAGTTTAAGTGTTGGATTTTGAGTGTATTTAAATAGCTATGAGCTAATACCCTAGTTACTGGAGATAAAATAAATAAACACATGGCCTAACAAACACTTATCTCTTCAGTAACAGAAAAATCAAGTGATGTGGGAATGTTTACAACTTGGTGTAACAGTGTTTAAGGTAACTTCAAACCTTCATATAGACTTGTACATCTGCTACCCTCTTTCTTCTAATCATTAATCTCTAGGAATACTGTTTATTTTATTTTAAACTTCATTTCTATTTAATTTTCTCTGTGAGATGATAACAATGGTTAATTTAAGTTTCAGTATTGGAGGATAATTATAAAACTAACCTCATGTTAGAGCAGAGATCCATGAAAATAATAATAATCTAAATTCATACATGAATTAACTAAAGGTTGCCTTGATTATTTTTGTTTGTCTAACAAACAACTCTGAAAAATACTGAAAAACATGTTGAATGAAGTTCTGCCTTTTCCAATTATTATTAGTGTTAACTAGAACAAGTTACTCACTTCTAAGCCTTAGCTCCTTTATCTATAAAAAGGACTCCATAGTTTCTGGGCACATCTATTTCAGAAGGCTTAGTAAAGTAAAAAATATAAAACATTATATGTATAAAAGTAATTAAAAAGTGCCAGGGTCTATATGTATATGTGAATTGTTATTTTATGGTAAATAATTTTATTCAAAACTTGTATATCAAAATAGAACACATATGTCACATAAATCTACACGATTTGTATTAAGAAAAACAAAAGTTAAGCAAGATTTTTTTTACATGAAAGACACATCTCACTTTCCTTCAATTCTAAAATTATAGATTAAAACACTTGGAATAATAAGTTAAAATTTGTTTCACAAGCTCTTCTATTAAATATAGTTTTCTTCATTCCATATTCCTAACTCCGGTCCTTGAAACTGCTGCCCTCTTGTGGCTCATAGAGACAGTTATATAGTTTAAATTCATAATAGAAAACCACTTTTCCTCAAGACAAGCTGTCTTCCTATAGTAAAAACAAAATGAAGTCAAGATAAGGAAATAAATGTGACTGAGATGTATTGAAACAAGACCATTTCTAGCCAACATTTGATTTTTATGTATTTTTTTCTTATAGCAATATGTTGAGGGTGACTTCCTTCACTACTCTGAATTGTCATGAGGGACAATAGAGGAAGAAAACAGGTGCTACAAAAGTACCTAGGTATCCTGTATTTCAACAAAAGTCTGAAATAATTGGGGTTGATTAAAAATTTTTAAATTTTTATATAAGTGGAATTATTTATAAGGAATATTTTCTATCTGGCTTTTAAAATTCAGTACTCTATCATGAGATTTTTCCTTGTTATTTGTGAGTTTGTTCATTCTCATTTCTATAGAGTATGCCATTCCATGAATGCACCACAATTGATATATTAATTGTACTGTGRATTTGTCTTTCCAGCCCAGTTTTGTCCAATACAAGTAGTGGTGCACAAATGTCTTTAGGTAAAGATATGTGTACATTTCTCTTGGATGTGGATTTCTAGGAGTAGAATTTCTCATTCGTGGCATAGGCATATATTCAGCTTTAGTGGATCCTGCTAGATGATTTTACAAAGATTGTACTAGTTTATGCTCCTTACAGGAGATTATGAAAATTTTAATTGGTCYGTTGTCCTCTCCAGCATTCACCACTCTGTCTTTCTCATTGTGTCCTTCCTGGAGGGTGTGCAGTACTACTACTCTGCCTCATTTTTCACAGAGGGTCCAGTAGATGAGAACAGGATATTGGGTCATGTGAGACAACCCTCTTCCTCAGAAATAATTTACAAAAAAAAAAAAAATGAGATGGGAACTATTCCTTGTCCTAGGGATTATTCAGCAGGATCAAAGACCTGAAAAGGAAAGCGGGGAGGATTTGAAGAGGTTAATAAAGAGGTTCTTTGGAGGGAGCCACGCCTGTCGGCTGTGCTTTGGGGTGAGGGCAGAGGGTTGTGCTATTCTCACTACATGTCAAGTGAGAAGAGTTTCAAGAGGGTCCTCTAGGGGAGCTTTGGAATATGTTCCCTTTGTTTGAGGAATACAAAAGACTGCTGCCTACTCCATGCCTAGGAGGGTAGATTGGGGTCTTTCTCTAAAGTAGGAAACTAGAGGTCTCTGAAGGAGCCCACAGATGCCTTGGATACTGGAGAGTGTTGCTGCATTGAGATGTATAGCACTCCCAAGATTTTTTTTTTTTAAATAGAGACATGTGTTTGTCAGAGAGTGAGTAAGTAACAAGGTGATCTGAGGTCCTCTTGGGTTCACCATTCAATAGAATCAACTGGAGAAAAGCTATTTCTTGCAGTTTGTTAGGAAAAAGCTTGAAGTGAACAGCAGGATACTCCCTAAGTGGCTACCTGGAGGGCAGATGCATATGTCTGAGTCCAGGGGAGTCACAGAAGGAGGGTTTCAGCTGAAGAGCCTCAGAAGAATGAACTTGAGCCATCTTTCAGGTCTTCAGCGTGGGAATCTACCTATCCAAGTAAGACCTGCACCTTCCCAATGACCCACCTCCCAAGCCAAGTACAGAGGAGAAATAGCAGTTAGGGATGAGGACAGGCATCAAGCTGAGTCATACAGAAGGAGATATCCTTTCCACAACCTCCAGGGCAGGTTTGCATTCCTTTCATTTGGCTTGTCTTTTCATTCTTTTAACAGTATCTGTCTCAGAGCAGAAGTCTTTCTTGCAGTTCCATTTGTTAATTTCTTCTTGTGTGGATCATGCATTTAGTATTTGTGTCTAAAAACTTTCTAAACCTAAGGCTGCATAGCTTTTCTCCTTTGTTTTATTCTGGAATTGTGTAGGTTAATGTTTTAAATTTGCAATCCAGTTCAAACTAAATTTATATGAGACATGAGATATTGAGCTTAATTTTTTGAATGTTTTGTTTTTGAATATCCAATTGTTCCCATATTATTTGTTGAAAATAGTGTCTTTTCTCCCTTGAGTCACCTTTGTATCTTCATCAAAATCTTAGTCCATTCAGTCTGTGGTAACAAAATACTATCTGTTGGG